CACTGCAGGGTGGACCCTGGCCACTGGTCAGCTTCCACTGCCCTGCAGAGAGGAGACCTGGCCCCGAGGCCACGACAGGGCACCCACATGGCCCCACACAGGTGCCCAGCTGGCATCAACACCCTATGTTTGCGCACACACACACACGAGTGAGTACATGCAGACCCCCAACCCACCACCCTTGTGCACAACCCCCAGCCAGCCACATGCCCACAGAGGAGCCAGGAGCTCCTGGCCCTGCAGGGCCATCAGGTCCTGCTGCCACCAAGGCACTGGGTGCACCACTCACCCCGCCACCACAATCTCAAAGTCACCATCGGCATCCAGGTCGGTGATGGCCACACCGTAGTTGAGCTGCGTGGGGTTGCTGTCGTAGTCGGGTGGGAGGAGGCGGTGAGTGACGGCTGCGAACATGGGCTCACTGCGCTGGGAGCCCTCGCTGAGCCAGGCCAGGGACAGCAGGCACAGCACCAGCATCCTGGGCACCTGGGAGAGACCTGCAGCCCATCAGCTCCAAGAGGAGATGGCTTCACCAGCTGTCAGGGACCCTGAGGTCCTGCTCCGTGATGCCCAAGCATTCCCACTGCCCTTGCACAAGAGATACTCTTTCTATCCCTTGTCATCCACTCCAGCCTGTGCCACCCCACCAGCTCTGCAACCCTTGGGCACTGCCACAGCTCTGGCACCCCTGTGCACGGACCCTCCTGGTTGCAGCTCACCCTCAGAGCTTCTTTGAGACAGGACCGTACCCCTGTGAGCTGCAAGCCAGGGCTGAGCAGGAGCAGGACGTTGGGAACCCATCCCATGGGAGGGACCAAGGAGGAAGCAGGAGGGCTGCAGGGTGCTGACAAAGCTGGGCTCAGCCCCAGCTCACCCTGCCCCAACAGGCCACCAGCACCCAAGGTCCTGGCAAGATATGTTGCCAATCACTGCTCCCTTGGCAGGGCCAGAGAAAGCGGGCAGCCACCTGCCTGGGGAAGCTCATCCCTTGTCTGGCTGGTCCTCCAGAGCAGAGGAAGGTCATGGGGAGAACATGGGGGTACTCTGCCAGGTGATCCCTGTCTGCCTTAGTTTCCCCACTCTGCTGGCACTGTTTCTCCCGGGGGCTGTGTGGGGTGAGCTCCTCCCAGGCTGGCTGGGGAAGGTGCCTGCAGAGGGATGTGGTCATGGGAAGGAGATGCTAGGAGGAATGGAGACTGGGAGGAGAGGCTCAATTAACCTGGACTGCGGAGGACAGTGTCTGCCAGCACTGCTGGCAAGGCTGCAGAGATTCTGGAGCTGGCTCTGACCTGACCGTAGCATGGGTGACGAGCAAGGTGGCATTCAGGTCAGGTAGCCCCCTCCAGAGGGTAGAAGCCCAGCAGTGAGCTGTGTATCCCCAAGCTCCAGGTAGGAGCAAGCGCAACCTGTCTCACTCCTGCAGCCTGGAGCAATGACGGGGGCACCTGGCTGCCAAGGCAGGGGATACTGCTCCATGCAGCCGTGCCATCCCCTGGGGCAAGGCTGCTCCCACTTCCTGGGGAGCCAGGAACAGCCCCTAGCACTGGCAGGGAGGTAGGGCGGAAGAGCCCCC